CAAGGTTCCAAAACTATTCAAGGAGGAAAGGGCAGTCTCTTCAACAAATGTTGGGAAAACTAAAAGTCACATGCAAAGGAATGATGCAGGACCCTTATTTTAAACCATATACCAAAGTAACTGGAAATGCATTAAAGACCTTAGTGTAAAAACCTAAAAACCATAAGATTCCTAGGTAAAAACAGGAGAAGAACTCCATACTGGACTTGGCAATTATTTTATTTATATAATACCAAAAGCACAGGCAACAAAAGCAAAAATAGACAAAGAGCACTACATCAAACTTAAAATTTTTGGTATATCAAGGGGCACCATAAGCAGAGAAAAAGGCAACCTACAGACTGGGAGGACATACTGATTATAATATAACTAAAAGGGGTTAATATCCAGAATATATAAAGAACCCCAACAATTCAACAAGAAAACATCAGATAACCTGATTAAATATAGGCAAGGAAATTGAATCAGACATTGTATGGTCAATAAACAAATGGCCAGTAAGTGTATGTAAAGATGCTCAAAATCACTAAATGTCAGAGAAATGAAATTCAAAGCCACATAAGAGATACTGCCTCTTACACATCAGAATGGCTAAAATATAAAAAAGAAAATAGCAAGTGCTGAACAGATGTAGAGAAACTGGAACTCTTAAGCACGCCTGGTAAGAATGTAAAATCAGGGGGACCAGCAGTTAGTGTAATGGCTATGTCGCTGGACTCCTATGTAGTCACTGTGGTTCATGTCCCGGACCCGGTGGCTTAAAACTCACACCGGGTGCATGTGTATGTGTGCCCAAGATCCCGAGAGGAGAATGGAGGAGAAGGGATTGCTGCATGGCCATCTGTCTCTATGTCTCTCTCTCTGTCTGGGGAGCGCACGCACCCTATAGCAAAAACCTCTGCCAAAAAAAAAAAAAGAATGTAAAATCAGGGGCCAGCAGGTGGCCTAAGGGTTAAGGTGCTGGACTCCCACATGGTCAACCTCAGATCAAGTCCCACACCCAGTGGTTTGAAATTCATGCTGGGTGCATGTGCATGTGTGCCCAAAATCCCACAGAGAATGGAGAAGGAAATGAGGTGTAGTCATCCCCCAGGGGGTGATTTCTCTTTCTGTCTCTCTGGCAAGTGCACGCACCCTAAAAACAAAACAAAACAAAATACTCTCTAAGAAAAAAAAAGAATGTAAAACCATGGAACAACTATGGAAAATAGTATGGCAGTTCCTCAAAAAATTAAGAAAACCACATGATCCAGCAATTTCACTTTTGGGATATGTAAAAAACAAAACAAAACAAAACAAAACAAAAAAAACCTGAAGATCAGCTCTTAAAGAGATTAACTGCACATCTGTGTTCATAGCAGCACTATTCACAAAAACCGGCAGGTGAAGCAATCTCTATAGGAGGGAGAAATGCAGAAGGGATGTGGCAAGACCATGACCTATTGGGGGTGTGCTTTTTCCCTCTCTTCACATCTCACTTAGATGAGCAATTAAAAATTAATTAATTATGTCACATGCTACAATATGATATGGATAAACCTTGATGTCATTGTGATAAGGGAAATACTGTATGATTCCACTCAGATGAATCTAATTCAAATCTCTCTCTCCATGTGTCTTTCACTTATGGAATAAACTTCAAAATAAAAAAGAATCTGTCGCTTATACCTACTAGTTTAATTTTCACTTCTGGGGACATCCTTTCTAAAATTATGTTATTATTTTTTAATAATTTAGACCTGTTCATCTTGTCTAGGTTTGTCTATTCTGAATCAAAGAATTCCTTTCACTTATCTACTAGGTTGATCCCATCCGTAACAGCTCAAGTCCTTTTTCTTTCTTGATTTATTGCCTCTGTTAAAGAATCATTTCTCATTATATAACTTCTTTTTTTGTAATTTTTTTTTTTTTGGAGAGGTTTTTGCTATAGGGCGTGTGCGCTCACCAGACAGAGAAAGACAGAGAGGCAGAAAGTGAGAAATCACTCCCCAGGGGGATGGCTATGCCGCAATCCCTTCTCCTCCGTTCTCCTCTAGGGATCTTGGGCACACATGCACAGGCGCCCGGCGTGAGTTTAAGTCACCGGGTCTGGGACTCGAACCACAGTCGACTACATGGGAGTCCAGCAACATAGCCATTATGCTAACTGCTGGTCCCTCATTATATAACTTCTTGAAAAAGGGTATACAGAAGGCCAGCCTATTGTTTGGTGGTTAAGATGGCTGGAACTCAAATGGGTGACAGCATGGTTTGAGTCCTGAATACAGTGGCTTGGGAAACATGCTGGGTACGTGTGCATGTGTACCCAAAATCCAGAAAGGAAGAAGAGGTGGAAGACAACAGACTACTATGTGAACATGCCCCATGAGGTGCTTTTTCTCTCTCTCTGGAGAGCACTGGTAAATTAAAAGGCAAATGAAAAAGGGCATATAGGGAGGAAAAATTAAAATTTTCCAATTCTAAAATTCTCAAAACTAAATGATAAATTGTCTGACTATAAAATTGTAGAGTGAGGGGCCTGCAGGTGGCAGGGTGGTTAGGGGTACTGGACTCCCACATGGCTGACCACTGTTCAAGTCCTGGACCTGGTGGTTTGCTTTCTCACTTTCTCTCTCCCGCTCTCTCGCTCTGTCCCTCTCTGGTCAAATTAAATAAATAATAAATAAAGCAAAAATAAAATAATTTTTAAAATTCTATATTGAAACGCATTTTTTTCTTAGTATCTTGAATGACTCTACTTATTGTCTCCTAGCATTTGGTGTTGCTGATGAGGAAGTCTGATCCCATTTTTACTCCTTATCCTCTATGCAATCAATTTTTCCTTAGTGAAAGTTTATAATGCACTTTAAAAATTTATTTTTAGGGACCAGAAGTTAGCATAATGGCTATGTCGCTGAACTCCCACGTAGCCGACCGCAGTTCGAGTTCCAGACCTGGTGGCTTAAACTCACGTCAGGTGCATGTGCGTGCATGCCCAAGATCCCGAGAGGAAAATGGAGGAGAAGGGATTGAGGCATGGCCATCTCCTCTGGGGGGTGATTTCTTGCTTTCTATCTCTCTTTCTGGCGAGTGAACATGCCCTATAGCAAAAACCTCAAAAAAAATTTTTATTGTTATTGTTATTATTATTGTTGTTGTTTAATTTACTATAAGGCACGTGGATTCACCAAAAAGAGACAGAGAGAGAGAGCAAAAAAAAAAAAAAAAGTAAGAAAACAAGCTGCCAGGTCCAGGACTTGAACCATGGTTGGGTATGTGTGAGTCCAGCCCCTTAATCACCAATCCAGCCCCTTAATCACCACACCACCTGTTAGCCTCTATAATGCACTTTAAATTTTCTTCCAGTCTCAGCACTATTTGCTTCTATCTTTTGACTGTTTTGGTCTCTCAAGAATAGTGATCTTGGGACCAGCAGTTAGCATAATGACTATGTCGCTGGACTCCCACATAGTTGACCGCGGTTCAGGTCCCAGATCTGGTGGCTTAAAACTCACGCTGGGCGCATATGTGTGTGCGTGCCCAAGATCCTGAGAGGAGAATGGAGAAGGAACTGCAGCGTGGCAATCCCCCCTCGGGGGTGATTTCTCGCTTTCTATCTCTCTGTCTGTCTCTGTCTGGCAAGCGCACGCGCCCTATAGCAAAAACCTCTCCAAAAAAAAAAAAAAAGAATAGTGACCTTTAAGTTCAGAAGGTGGTGTGGTGGTTAAGGGTGCTGGATTCACATGCCTGATTGTGGTTTGACTCTCGGACCCAATAGCTTGCTTTCTCACTTTCTTTCTCTCACTCTCTGTCTCTCTCTGGTCAAATTAACAATAAAGTTAAGTAAAATAATTCCTAAAAAAATAAAAAATAAAAAGAATAGTGATCTTCAAGCTTGTGTTCAAAAACAAGTGATAGGTATTACAAAACAAATTTAAAGTGAAACAGGGCTTGTCAATCGGTGGACCTCAGTGCACAATGACATTCTATTGAGAAGGGAGCCCAATAAACATCAGTGTTATACGTTTTCCTTTGGGTTACGTTTTCCCAAAAGAAAAACTTTTCAACTTAGGAAAATACAAGCAAGGAAAACAGCATTCTAGAGACACGTAACACAAATGGGACTGGTGGTCTTACCATTCAATATGCAACTTCTCACTTGATTTCCAATTTTTTTTTAATTTTATTATTTTTATCATTATTTTCTAATTTGCTAACATGCACTCATCAGAGAAAGACAGACACAGTGAGAAAGCAAGCCACCAGTTCTGGAGCTTGAACTGTGGTCAGCCAAGTGGGATTTGGGCACCTTAACCACCGTACCGCCTGCTGGCCCCATCAATTTCTAATTTTCATTAAGATCCTTCACCCCATCTCATCTCCTATTAACCATGCCAAAACTTTTCTGGTTTCACTCTCACCAAATAAGCATCCAGATTTTTGGAAAATCTAGTATACTCCAGACTTTTAACCATTCCTACTTTTTTTCTTTTTACTTTTATCTACATTTATTTTATGCTAACTTTATTCCCATGCCATAAGTTTTTGTATCTCCAGTTTCTTCTGGGATATATTTTACTTCTGTGCAACTTCCTCTTCTGGTTTAGGAACAACTTGCTCCTTTTCAGTGAGGATCACCTTGATGTGGCAGGAGAAGCTCATTTATGGGTTAATCTACCCATAAGCTCTGTAAGTTTGGATGGCTCATCCTGGGTGCTCTGTTCACCTGAATATGCTCAATGATCAGAGAATGCACATCTAACCCCTTAAGTTCAGCATTACCCTCTGCATTTAAAAAAATTATTATTTATTTAATTTAATTTATTATTATTCTTCAACTTGACTACAGAAAAAAAGAGAGAGAGTGAGAGTGAAAAAGCAAGCCATCAAGTCCAGGAATTGAATCGTGGTCAGCCAAGTGAGAGTTCAGTGCCTTAACCACCTCACCACCAGCCAGCCCCTAGCCTCTGCAATTTTAAGCATGAGCAGCAAAAATTCAGCACTCTTTTTTGGCCACCAACCTTGTGTCCAGCCGCACTGTCTGGCCTGGGCACATCTACCAACTCTACCACTGTAACAACAGAAAAGAACACATTACTTGTGTAAAGTGAGAGCCTTCAGATACCTGGTGGTCTTTTGGATATGCATAACCTTGATGGTCTGGGCACTTTCACAGGTGTTCTTAAAATAAACACAAAGATCTGAACCTCTTAATTTGTAGGACTTTATGGGGTTCTCTGGGTCAAGTGAATAGCGAAGATCAGGCCGCTTACAAGAGCTTAAATACTTAACATGAACAAAGGTGTGCATTGTAGCATTTTTTTTCTAAGAAAATAACCATTTATTGGTATACTATGTAGTGCAGCTACATCACTCCAACAGAGGTAGTAATTTATCAAAATATCCTCATTGCCACAACCAATGGTCAGTTTTAACCTAAAGGATCTCTATTGATTCTCTACACCCCTTTTTAAAATGTTTATACCTCCAATAATGAATTTATTATGATACCACAGTATCCTAATCTCCTCACCTCATTTATAATTGCTCCCCCTTTTCATTCTCTTAAGTATTTGTTTTGCATTTCTATTATCACTCCTAAAATAACCTGAATATATAACCATTATTTTTGTTCATGTATATACCATTATTTCTGTTCATGTATATTCTCATAATTTAAGACTATAAGCAACCAAGTATATTTCTTCATCCCCTTCACTACCACTAACAAATCTCCCAATCTAAAGGCATCTATAACCACATCCACATTGTTCCCTTGATCACAACAGATGAAATTAACTCTATCAAAGGCCAAACCCAGAACTCATGACTTGGATCACTTCTCCTATCCCCTTTCTCAAGAATTTTTGTTTTGGGGACCAACAGTTGGAGTAATGGCTATGTCGCTGGACTCCCATGTAGTCGACTGCAGTTCGAGTCCCGGACCCAGTGGCTTAAACTCACACTGGGCGTGCATGCTCATGATTCTGAGAGAAGAATGAAAGAGAAGGGATTGTGGCATGGCCACCACCCTTGGGGGGTGATTTCTCACTTTCTGTCTGTCCTTCTGGCAAGCGCATACACCCTATAACAAACTCTCTTCCAAAAAAAAAAAAAACAAGGGAACCAGCAGTTAGTGTAATGGCTATGTCACTGGACTCCCATGTAGTCGACTGCGGTTCGCGTCCCGGACCCGGTGGCTTAAAACTCACGCCGGGCGCGTGTGCATGCATGCCCAAGATCCCGAGAGGAGAATGGAGGAGAAGGGATTGCGGCGTCACCATCCCCCCTGGGGGGTGATTTCTCACTGTCTGTCTGTCTCTCTCTGTCTGGTGAGCGCACGTGCCCTACAGCAAAAAAAAAAAAAAAAAAAAAATCAATAAATTCAGTCTGACACTCCACTACTCAATTTCACAGTGTAAAAGTCAATGTCCTTCCAATGAATCATTACACCTTCTCCTACCATTTATCTTCTTGATCTCATCTTCTACTACTCTCAACCTCTCATTCAGTTTCAACCACAATGAGATCTTGCCTCTCTCAAAAAGACCACATTCTCCAACCTTGGAGACTTTGCACTGCTATTCTTTCTGTCCAGAATTATCTCCCAGATGCTACTTTCCACACCTCTTTTAAGCCTTTGCTGAAAGGTCATCTTCTCAATGAGACCTACTTTGGCCACTCTTATTTAAAATTTAACTTGCTCCCCTCTCCAGAACACCTGATTCCCTTTACCTTCACTTACTCTTACTCTTTTATGCACAGAATGTATTATATCCTAAACAGTGAATAATTTACTTATTATTACTGCCTACTATGAGAATTAACCAGCCCTGGAGCCAGGTGGCAGTACAGTGGTAACATAACTGAATTCACTTAGGCATGGTCCTGGGTTCTCATCCCAACAGTTTTCTGAGCAAGCTGGATGTGTACATGCTCATAATCTGGGCCAGATAAGACGGGATGAAGCACGGCATGAGGATCTTGTTGAGTTGCCTTTCTTTCTCTCAAAGAATAGAAAAAATTAAAACAAGAAGAATTAACCACCTGTTTTTTAGTCACACTATTACTGTTATACTTTAAGGAATTAATCATTATCTCCTCCCCTATGTCAAGAATTTTCCAAACTGTAGATCAGTTCAGACCAGTTTCTTTTTTGTTTGTTTCAATGGAAAAATCTAACAGAAAAATTTTATCACAGTTCTTTGTACATAGTAAAACCATACTTTTTTTTTTTTTTTAGAGGTTTTTGCTATAGGGTGCGTGCGCTCACCAGAAAGACAGGAACCAAGAAACCTTCCTCCAGGGGGGATGGCCACACCGCAATCCCTTCTCCTTTATTCTCCTCTCAGGATCTTGAGCACATACACACATGTGCCCAGCGTGAGTTTAAGCCACTGGGTCTGGGACTCGAACCGCAGTCGACTACATGGGAGTCCAGCGACATAGCCATTACGCTAACTGCTGGTCCCAAACCATATTGTGTTCATATTTTTTTTTTTAACTTTTTTGCCACAGTGCACATGCGCTCACAGGAGAGACAGAGAGAAACAGTAAGATGGCAAGTGAGAAATCACCTCTCCCCAGGAGGGAGGGGGGATGGCCATGCAGTAATCCCTTCTCCTTCATTTTTCTCCCAGGGCTATGGGAGCATACACACAGGTGTTCAGCATGAGTTTCAAGCCTCCAGACCTGGAACTTGAACTTTGGTCATCCATGTGGTTGTCCAGCACCCTTCACTACACCACCTGCTGGTTCTGTTTTCATATTTCAACACAACTATAACCACACATGTTCAACTCAACTATTATATATTAAGTTGCCTGGCACACAGAATACACTGATTATTTTTGAAAGAAAGACTGAATCAATGAATGAAGACCTATCATCATGTACTTCATGATGAGTTATCAGTAAGAGATGGCATTTATTGAACGAATATTGTGTTAAATGCCATTTTCCCATTTTAAAGGATAAGGAAAACAAAATTTATTAAGATTAAATAATTTCTCCAAGTTTATATGAGTGGTAAAGATAACAGTCAAGTTTCAACCCATTCTAACACCAAATTCTATCCTCTTCTCTATTAACTTAAGCTCAGACGCTCTATTTTTGTTGAGTTGCTTTTGTTTTCAATTCCATTTTCAGCTTAAGGACCTCAGTGAATGCAATTTCTTCTACCTGAAATGCTCTCTCATACTTCTATCCCACTCTACATTCTCATTTAGTTCTAACTAAAGTCTATTCATTCTTCCGGGTAAAGTTAAAACGTCATTTCCTGAAATGGTCTTAAATAAATAAGAATATTCTAAACATCATTTCCTCACAGGTCTTAAATCAATTATATTATTCCCACTATTAGGTTACGAGCATCTATCTTTTTCTCCATAACACAAAACTCAATACATCTGTGATACTTGTTCAATGTTCATTTTCCATATTAGATTATAAATTTCTCAAAGGTAAGGACCAGATCTACCAGTTGCACAAAACTCAATTCATTTGAATAAAAAACAAATAGCAGGGTCAGTAGATGGCATAAGGGATTATGTTGTTAGACCCCCCACAGGGTCACCTGTGGTTGGAGTCCCAGACCCAATGGCTTGAAAATCACACAGGGTGTGTGTCCCTGCATGTCCAAAATCCCGGGAAGAAAATGGAGAAGGGATTGCAGTGTGGCCACCACTCCTAGGGATGATTTCTCACTTTCCCTCATACTATTTGTCTCTCTCTCTCCAGTGAGCACAAATACCCTATGGCCCGTGCTTAGGTCCATGTGCATGTGTGTGCACACGTGCACCCAAGATCCCAAGAGGATACTGGAGAAGGGATTAAGGCAAGACCATCACCCCTGTAGTGTGATTTCTTGCTTTGTGTTTCTATGTCTCTGTCTCTCCAGTGAGCCCATGCATTCCTGCTTTCTGTCTCTGTCTCTTGGGCGAGCACACGTGCCCTATAGCAAAAACTCTCTCTTAAAAAAAGAAAATTTGGTCTGGTTACTAATTAGCTTTGGGCAAGTTTCTTAAGCTCTTTAGTCTTCATTCACAAAATAATCACACATACCTTGCTATTTCAATGAACTATCCCCTTCTTTTCATTTATACTACTATCGTTGTAATTTAAATAATTATTATCTCTCCTCTAGAGCAATATTTTTCAAACTGCAGCCTGATTCAAATAAATTTCACTTGTTTTTAAATGGAAAAAACAAAATATAAAACAATAAATCAGAGTATCTGCACATACTGTGGTCATAATGTTGAAACACATATACAATTCCATTACTATTTACTGGGTAGCAATGTCACATGTACATGCTATGGGGGGTTCCAATAAAAAATCTGAAAAACATCACTACAACTGCCATCAGTGAACTATTAGGTTGTTTGGAAAGTCATGCCATATTTTTCTATTTTTCTATACAAAAATTCATCATGACTTTCCTGATGACCCAATAACATTACTAGAGTATTCAATTCAGTGAGAAAGAGACATTGTTGGTTTTGCTTGATGCTCTATCTCTAGAACCAAAAACAGTGCCTGGCATATAACAGCACTATAAATATCTTTGAACACGTGAGTAATATGTCCAGTCTCAACTATCTAAACCTATTAATCCTGTATCTTCCTCCACATTGCTAGTTCCAAAGCTACATGCTTCATACCTGAGCTTTGGCTCATGCCTTGGTACATGCTGTTCCCTTAGACTAACAAAACTCCTTTTTTCTCAACTCACCAAAACAATTGATGTCTTTTTACTGAAGTTAGTATTCTTTCTTACAGAATCATAAGATAGGCATAAAGTATACATGTATAGAAGAAAATATAAATTATAAATATGCAGCACATGAAAAGATATAGTTCTTCTACGTCATATATTTTACTTTTAGCATAATTACGATATACATTAAACATCTGACTAAGCATGCCATCTTAAACTTTCAAGTTTGTTTGAAGATGACTTAACAGTAAATTAAAAAATGGAACAATTGATCTAATTTTTTTTATTTTTTTATATAACTCTAGTGCCTACAGAGGTACTCAAAAATTATAGCATTGGTTATTCTTTTCCATAAACAAAGCAGTATTAAAAAATTTAAAGTCATAGGGACCAGCAGTTAGCGTAATGGCTATGTCGCTGGACTCCCATGCAGTCGACTGTGGTTCGAGTCCCAGACCCGGTGGATTAAACTCATGCCGGGCACCTGTGCGTGTGTGCCCAAGATCCCCCGAGAGGAGAATGGAGGAGAAGGGATAGCGGCGTGGCCATCCCCTCTTGGGGGGTGATTTCTCGCTTTCTATCTCTGTCTCTGTCTGTCTGGCGAGCGCACGCACCCGATAGCAAAAACCTCTCCCCCCAAAAAAAAGAAAAAAAAAAAAGAAAACAATTTAAAGTCATCACTGAAGATCAAAAATTATGGGTTTGGGCATTGAAAATTAACAACTTTGCAATCCAGAAGTCACTCTGTACCTCATCCACAGATAAGCCAATTTGAAGATTTGGGCTGTAAGAAGAAAAGAGACTAGTTTTTACAAATGGTTTTAGAGGCTAAGCAGAATGTTACAGACTGACTTTTTAAAAAGTTTCTACACATTAAACACTATATTCTAGAAACTGGACTTTGTATATGTATTTACATAAACATCTGCATTATCTTCAGATCTTTGAAAAAAGTTACCATTGGAGTGCAGCTACTACTTTCTTCCTCCTCTAGTTATTTTTCTAAAAAGTTTCATGTAGAATTATTTGTTAGCATACGGATTGTTGTTTCTCTTGAAAAATACATGATAAAATGACTTATAAAATCCTTTCTTACTCAACTATAAAGTAAGCAAGTAAAACTATTACCAAATATTTTCAGATTAAAATATTCTGCTTTTCTAATTCTCACTTTAATTATCCCATACCATCTAATTAGCCATTTTGGTCAATCACTAATTATTTCAGAGTTCACAGTCAAAGAACTAGTTTTCTTTAGAACTCCTATCAGTCCCTTTATCCCTGTCAGACAGTGAACTGTAGAAAGTTCCAAGTTTTTCAACTATAGAATAAGGTTTAAAATCTGGGAGCAGGGGAACCTGACAGCAATTGTTTATTATTTTTTCAACCCACTAAGGCTCCTATAGAGCCCCAAACCCTGAACTTCACAAAAGAGCTTTGTACTTCCCTTAGGAAACTTGCTAATGCTAAAGCTTCTTCCCCCTTTCCAGCTCTAGAAAACTTTGACATGTTTCTGAACAAATTAGACCACTGCCAAGTAACTTGAAATCCTCAAACAGAAGACAACATGATTGTCAAACTAAAAAGCAACATTTGAATTTGTATAAAATTACATGGTATTATTATACAGCATCATTAATAATACATTAAGCAGTACTATTTATTAACTTCAAGTACTATCCATTATTATCTGTATTAACTTATTTAAAGATCTGACTTTAGAACAGGAAAAACACGGGTGCCAATCTGGTTACAAAGATAAGCATTCTTAAATAGATTTCTTCAAAAGATCCTACTAGGGCCTTTCATGTCTAGTTTTTCTATTTCCATCCTATGCTGCCACAAGTTCTGGTTCATCTTTAGTGTGCTGTGACTTAGTATTGCTTCCGTAGTCAGAACGCAGAACGCAGAATGTGTCCTCAAAGGCCATGCTTTTTATTAATAGAATTTGTATTCTATCCTCCCAATCATCTGGCGGCTAACAAGCCCCTTCCACTTCTAGTCGTCCCAGCTACATTGGCTTCCAGCTCTCGGGGAAGCAAGGACTTCAGACTTACTACTCCCAACCTCTTTCTAAATCCAGGTGAGGGAGGTCCACACGTTCCCGCCCGACATAAAGCGCAGTCAAGAGAAACGTTAGGTCTAAGAAAAGAAACCTCGCGCTGCTCCACCCAACAGGTGGGAAGAAGAAAGGAATCGCCAGCTGGGCGCCGAGTCCAAGCCAGGCCGCAAACAGGGCGGGAGAGGGAGGCCTCGGCCCAAACGCGGCCTGAGACACCGCAGGCCCCTTTCTGCCGCTAGTCTCCCCCCCGCCACCACGTTCCGGGGAGCCCGTCCCACCTGACCTTACGATGGATGCCACTCGATGCCATGAGCCGAAGCCTGAGCCAACCTAGCCGATGATGGCACTTCCACCGCCTCAGTCCTCAGTCACTGCAGCAGCCGCCACCAGCGCCAGAGCCACCTCGCCGACGACGTTGTGCGCATGCGTGGTGTCCCAGGAGGCGAACCAGTCACGTGGCCTCGCGGCGCGCAGGCCTCGCCCTCCTTGGATCGAGGCTGCCCTGAGGCCACAGCCCCGCCCCGCGCCGGCGAAGGCGGTGGCCGCTGCTCCTCCTTGGCGTTGCTTGGGTAAGCACTTACCAAAACACTGACTTTAGGGCTTTTCCACCTCTGACCTTAAACACAGACAGCACCTGGGAAACTCCCCACCCTCTAAAAAGTAAACTATCGTTATTCTGTTTGGGGCAAATCCTCTAAGACTTGTTTGGCAATTGCCCAAGCTTTACCCATAAAAATTTTTACATGAGCAGAAATTCAGACTTAAATCCCAAATCCGAAAATAATATGGACTCTCGGCCTACTCGGGTTTTCTGAAGATGGACCAGTCATGAACTTAAGAGGCTTAGGAAGCTGACCATTAAAAAAATACGTAAAATTACCCTCTAGATAAATGGAGGCAGTTTGTTTTTTGGAGAGGTTTTCGCTATAGGGCGCATGCACTCGCCAGAAAGAGAGAGACATAGAGACAGCTAGAAATCACCCCCCAGGGGGGATGTTCACAGGGCAATCCCTTGGCAATCCCTGTCCTCCATTCTCCTCTCAGGATCTTGGGCACGCACGCACACGCACCCGGCGTGAGTTTTAATACACCGGGTCCAGGTGGCAAACCGTGGTCGACTACGTGGGAGTCCAGCGACATAGCCATTATGCTAACTGCTGGCTCCCAATAAATGGAGACAGTTTTGTGTCAACAGTCCAAGCGGTTTTATTCACTTGTACCCCGTTGCCACATTTCAAAAAAAATATTTTTCTTTCAAATTTGGTCTCTTTCCGTTTAGTATGCTGTTATTAACTGGTAACATCCCAACACCATACATAACATCACTTACCATAGTCTTTTTCAAGGTTCAGTGGTATCACAACTGGGTTCCAGTTTCTTCTGGAATCTGCTCTAGAAGTGTTTGTACGTCAGAGGCTGTTTTACATCCAAAACCCTGCTAATCATAAATCCCCATCAACAAGACAGTTTGCTTCCCAGTATCAAAATCAATATTTTTACCGTTAGCCTTGCATTTTCATGAGACTGCACCTACTTGACCTTTCATTTGGTTCTTCAAGCAAGTTTGTTGAATCCTCTAACTGTGACTTTGCTTTTTTACAGGTTCGATCAGCAGCTTTTATATGTTTGCTCTGAGAAGAGGCAGTCAAGAGAACTACATAAAAGACAAGCTGGAGTGTGCTGCAGGTGCTGAAACTCAGTGGCTTTGACTGACTTAGCCCTCATCCTTTTCTGGATATTTCCGTCTTTCCTAAGGTGGCTTCAAATTCTTCATTAGAAAATAATATTGTTTCTGAGATCCCATCTCCTTTAGTGGTCAGTTTGTAAAAATCCACCTGCTGCTTCAGTGTTACTCATTGTGGATATTTTTTCCCTTTGTTAGTCTCCCTCTTACATTTCAACTCAGTGCTACTGCATTCACTCTCCTGCTTAAAACCCTCTGTTGTTTTTGTTATTGTTTACATGAAAAACCTAACTCTTTAGCATTGAAATATTTTCATAATTATGCCAGCTTCTCAGTGTTTCTGCGCCCTCCCATCTCCACCAAACCCACTTCTCTCAGAACTTTATGTCACACTTTTCCCTCTGTCCAGAATGTGCTCCCCCCACTGGCAAAAATGAAATATTTAAAAACTGATTTACCTTAATTGACTCTAAAAGAAAGTATATATCACAATTATAAGTTTTGGGAAGAAAAAAGATACAACAAAACTGTAGTTTAAGGGACAGTGGGCTAAAATACATTATTTAAAGTCAGGTGATCTCAAACACAGAATAGAGAGATTAGACAGATGGGGAAAAGCTGTTATTAAAATGTAATTTATGGGACCAGAGGATGACAATGGTTATATGGCTGGACTCCCACATGACTGACCACGAGTCCTGGACCCAGTGGTTTCAAACTCACACCAGGCATGTATGCATGCATGCCCAAAATACCAAGAGGAGAATGGAGAAGAAGAAATTGTGGCATGGCTATCTCCCTGGGGGATTGATTTCTCACTTTCTGTCTCTCTCTTTGTGTCTCCAGCAAGTGCATGCACCCTATAGCAACAATATCTCTCTCTAAAAAAAAAAGATGTAATTTATGAGAGGACTTCAGAAACTTTGTGGAGGGGCCAGCAGGTGGCATGGTAGTTAGAGCACTAGACTCCCACATGACCGACCATGGTTCAAGTCCCGAACTTGGTGGCTTGCTTTCTCACTTTGCATCTTTCTCTCTCCAGAGACTATGGCAAATTAAAATAATAATAAAAATAAAATTTAAAAATCTTTGTGGAAAAATTAAACTATGAGTTAATTTGATGCAAAATTGTTGATATACATGCACAGATTTTTTTAAAAGAATTATTTTATTTAACTTTATTATTATTTTCCAGTTTGATCAGAGAGAGACAGAGGAGAGAGAGAGAGAAAGTGAGAAAGCAAGCCACTAGGTCCAGGACTCGAACCACAGTCAGCCATGTGGGAGGGAGTCCAATGCCTTTAACCACCATGCCACCTGCCAGCCACATGCATAGATTTTAATAATACACAGTTACCATTAACTTTTTGAAGACCCCTTCCTATTTCTCCCATTTGTCCCTCTAGATCAACTGCTCTACTCTCTGGAAACTAACATTTTACACACTATATCAATAGGTACCCTCCTTGGTTTCTGGTTGGATCTGGCCTGAGTCCTGGCAGAATGAAAGAGAAGAGTGAGGGTATTTTTCCCCCAGCTCCATGTGGGGAAATCTGTGTTCCAATCTTAAAATTTTACTGTCTTCTTTCAGGTGCTAAGTTTCCCTAACCCTTCCTTTGTAAACACACACATACACACACACACACACACACACACACACACACACACAAAATCCCTTATGCACTTTAAAAATCATTCTGATTTTTATATTTCATCTGTTTCCTTCTAGGACCCTGTCTGATAAAAGAGCAGAATGTTACTTGTGATATCCAGTGTTAATCAAAATTTCCTTTTGGACTATTTAATATATTTGCTCTCAGGAATGGACTTTGTTTATGTATATTATAAATAATCCATCACTAAAATAATTGTGGTGGATCCTCTATTTGAACAATTCAGACACCCGTATTTAGTGTTTCTCATTACTGTTAAGCAAGTAAAATTAAAGCTGTGCCTATATATTTAAATCCAAATACAATATGAGTCTTATTTCCACTCCATTATTACTTGAACTTTAAGATTTAGCTGAAATGGTATCTATTCAGTTTAGTCTTCCTAATTTACTTACTTAGATCCTATGTTGCTCCTATTTCTGGATAACTTATTACATTATTAATTTGTATGTTTTCACACCTTTTGAAATGTCCAAATGAATTATTTGCATTTTAATGTCTAATTTCTTTCCATTTTTTTATTCCAGGTCTTTGTGCTTTCTGGTCACAGAGTTATGAAACTATGTGTATTTGATCTTAGATCTAGCCAATCTCAAGAACTAGGTCAGGGAAGGAAAGAATTACAAGGGGTCTTTGAGAAGTTCATGACAAAAGCATATTGTAAAAAAAATTATGGGGCCAGTCCTGTGATCTGATGGTTAAGAGAGCTGAATCCCACATGGCTAACTGTGGTTTGAATCCCAGCCCCGGTAACTTGAAAAACACATCAGGTGTATGAGCCTGTATGCCCAAAATCCTGACCGGATAGAGATACGGTGAAGGAACTAAGGACTGACCATACTCTATTAGGGAGTGTTTACCCCCCACCAACCCACCCCTCCAACTCTGGTGAGTACACATACTCTCTGGCAATTAAAAAAAAATGTATGCATATCAAAATCTTTTGCACCACAATAATTTATATTTTAATTCCATCTTTCCATGAACTTTTGAAGTTCCTTGAGTTTGGGCTCGATAGCTGAGTTTGAGGCACACTTCCTTCTCATTATAACCTGCTCATGTTCAAGAGATATTCAGTTCTCTTGTGGCCACTAAAAAAACAAAGAAGTGCCAAGAGAGAAAGGGGGTTCAATATGAAGGTGTTATCTCGGGCAGAAATTTCATGGCCAAAGGCAAATGGTCAAGTGTATAGAATTTGACAATGGACACCAGCAATTCAAGCCTAAAAGAATAGAGGGAATAGTGGCCCAAGCTGCATATAAGATATATGCATGCCACAGGACAAAAGATAGATATTGTAACTCAAACCACCCCTCAGTTAGTTAAAATGGAAGTGGGCCATGGTCTGGGGTATGCCAGACATCTTCCCGAAAGTAAATTACAAGTTGATTTGTCTTCTACCCTCCGCCAGTAAGAAAGATGCACAATGCTTGATGGATCTCTTTGGAGTCAGGGAAGAATATACATCCTTTGGTTGTGTTGCTCCCATTCATTTACTGGGTACCCCCATGCTGGCATGCGGTACTCACACTTTCTGGGCCTGGCTGAGGGCTGAAAGTGTATTGTGGCATCACCACCCCGTTGGGAATACTGTCTCTCACTCTCTCTCTTCCTTTCATGTTCTCTCTTGTCCTTGTGGAAGTAGTACATAAATGAACTCAAAAAAAAAAAAAAAAAAATCTCTAGCCAAGCCCTCACATTTTAGAAAAGAAAAAGCTGAGCCCCAGACCTGGCAAGTTATCTGTCTAAGATCACATGGCTAATTTCCTTAAAAGTTTAAAAAAAAAAAAAAGTTAAAAGAATATACCTGTGTGTATTTGTTAGGTCAACAGTGATAAATCAATATTACAATATGTATTTTTTTCTATTTTAACATTTATGAAAATTGGAAAAACAGGACACCTCTCACACATCTACAGAAATAAATCCTTTTATTTTATAACATTCCTTTTCTTTTTTTAATATGCATACAGTACTTTTAAGCCCAAGAATTCTGAGATAAGCTATAGAAGACCTGGCACTATTTTTGAGAATTACACAACTGGGCAGCAAAATA